ACACTACATCAAAAACTAATGATGTAATGTATGGTAATTAACATAACATAATAAAATTTTAAAAAAATGAAGAAAAACAAAAGACAACCTTCTAATATTTGACAGCATCCATCACTTGCCCTGAAACATCCTCTTTCCTTCAATTGTTCATCATTTGGTATAATTTCTAGGCTGCTCATCATCTCAGCATTTTTCTTCTGTCCTTCTCTTATTTTTTGATGTTTCTGTTCAGAGTTTAGAACTCATAACCAACACATTATTGCAGATGTGATCTGACTAGGACAGAGTAGTATAAGGGGTTATCTCTCTTGATCTTAGCAAAATGCTCTGCTAAGGAGACCAAGATTGCATTAAAATGGTTTAGAGCAAATACGACTTGTGCGAGCTTCAAACAAAATTCACCTTCATCTGAATAACTTTAAACTGCTGTCAGACCAGGTCTTATTCACCCAGAGTTCCTGTAATGATTTTGAACCTATCCTTTATCTCTTTGAAATTTCAACTTTTAGGTTTATTATTAGTCAGTGAATATTAATAATTTGGATCTTGATTATATAACACAGCATAACCTTTCTCTCCTGGCTTTGTGCCATTTACAAATCTGATAGGATTATTATTCACTTTTATTTGTGTAATGGTAAATATTTGAAAATGTAAGGTCCAAGAATACTATTTTTGGATGACCACAGAGAGTTTCTTGCACTTCAAGAGTAGAATATTTATCATTATGGTTGAACATTCTTTTAGTTCCATACTTCCCAAATTGAAGGTAAAAGAAGTTATGGATATTAGAAGTAATCACAGTTACAAAATATATCTGAGCCATGTTCTAGGCATATCAAATTTGCTCAAAGATTTGAAGAATAAACAAAGTAAATGGCAAATTATTTGAATTACTTTTAATTTTAAAGAAACTCGTAAGTTATAACTTTTAAGATAATGAGACTTTCATATATTTAAACTTTTTTCTTTTTCCTCTTCTTTTTTTCTTTTTGATCTGAAAACAGAATGTTTACTACTACCTTCTATTCTTAGGAGTCCTTTATTGAAATATTTGTGTGACATCAGCCTATCTAGACTTTTTAATGCCTTCCTATAAGGATTCCATAAAAAAATTGGTCAAACACTACCTAAAAATCAATATGCAATAAATAGGTATATAACATTCTCTCTATTTAAAAAATTAGTAAACAGGATTTAGTTTGGTAGTGCTTGCTTTTAAGGAGTCCTATTGTCATATTTAAAGTATCCCAAACTATATATTTAATAATATATTTTACAGTTTATCCAAATATCAACTTTTAGTGTATTAAACTCTGTCAGAATCTTTTTCCTTCCCTTTGAAACTTGGAACAATATACCAATGTCATGTAGCTGGGTCTTCTTCCCAAGTATTTTTCTAGTATTTCTACTTATAATATTGTGATCATATCTACTGCTTTATTTACTATTCTAAAACAATTATTTGACCTCATTTTAATGCAGTAAGGCATACACTTACCATCTCCAAACCCTGATCCTTATAAATGAGTGGTTTACTTTTTAAAAATAACTTTAATTTTTCCAATTTGAAGACAATTTTTCTTAGATGGAGACAACAGAAGCAAAAAAAAAAAAAAAAAAATTGAACTTTTCTATTTTCTCTTCATTAGCAGCCAGATTAACATTAGTTTCACCAAGCACTTGAATGGCTCACTTTTTCCTTGTTTCATATATTGTAAAAACTTTGTTTCTAGAGCTAAAAGTTTTCTTTAACATTTATTTTGCAACTTCAACTCACCCTTGATTTTAGTCTTTCTGGCACTAATTTAAAGATTTGGAAAGCTTGTTTTTTATTCTTTCTAAATCTTCTCTTTCTCTGTACATTAAATTAAGTAAAACCCAGAGACCTCTACTGAGGCCCACTGGTACCCTCTTCTCCCCTGTTGTAATGATTACTGTGATTTTATAGTGTGGGTTTCTATTTAATAGTTGGGTCTCTATTTTTAGAGCTCACTTGAGTCATACTTTCATACTTTTACTTTTTCTGAGTTATTTTTAATAGTACCCTGCTGATAAGATAAAAATCTGTCTGTTATCCTATTTACCTGCAAATTTTTATGGTCTCCAATTTGAGGGTTACTTCTCTGAAGGAATCCCTTACTCCCAAATTTTTAAAACATACTATTCTTGTTGTTTCTTCTAACTTCAGTGAGATAAATTTTCACCAAGGGAAGCCTCTATATCAAATGCTCTTCTTTTAGTGGAACATCTTAAATTCAACAGCCCTGCATTTAGATTCTTAATTATATAAATCTCCACATATAAAATTTCTTTCAGTTTTTCTTTTATATAGTAAATATTTTGTCAAAATCTATTACATATAATAAGCAGGTTACTAGGTAATAAATCCTCAAAGAAAAAGTAATTTTCTTATTTTCTTCCATCTGTGGGTTTGATGGGAAGAAGACGAAGGTAGGGGATAAGAGGCGTGGTGTTTCCTGTACAGTCTTAACTCATTATATAAGGTCTGGGGATATGAAGAGGAAAGAAGAAAGAAGAAAGAAAGAGAAAGAAAAGAAAAGAAAAGAAAGAAAGAAAGAGGAGAGGGAGAGAGGGAGGAAGGGAGGGAGGAAGGGAGGAAAGGAGGAAGAAAATATTTGTTCCCTGATTTCAAGATACTCATTAACTGAATCAGAAGGATTATGCTTTTAGGTGAATGTGCTTTAAAATACTGTGTTGTTACTTTCTGCTTTCCCAATTTGTACATTTCCTGCTACTTCCTTTCACAGGAATGGCCTTTACTATTTCAAAATTTTCTTAATCAAAATTCTTCCATTTTCTCCATTTAGAATTCTATTATTTTCATATCAATCATGCTCATGACCAATTAATATGAAAAGACGGGTCATTATAAGCATATAAGACTGGCATTAAAATTTAAACAGGCCTTGTTTAGGCTTCAGAGTGGCTTACTTTAACCATTGCCTTCTCCTTAATTACATTCAAACCATAAATATTCATGAAGAAGCAAAGCAGTGTGGTAGGTGTGATGGAGGAAACAAATAGACGTGTTCTTCATGGGATTTTATGATAGCAGATCCTGGAGGAGACCTAGTGTCACAGAGCCTAAAGCCTAGTAGGGAACACAAAGTTCTGTGGGCAATGGTCCTGGTAAATATATGCTGCTCCTTACAAAGGTAATAAGTATGAAGAAGTGGTTGGATAAATAGTAATTCATCTAAAAAAAAAATCCAAAGCTGACTAAAGATAGGAAAAATGTGGAGATGTCTTTCAAAGGAAGAAGTCATTTTACAAAATGACCTTATTTATCCAGTATTATTGGGGATGAACTAATTCTTACAGGGTTATATTTCCAAACTGTCCAAACTGAGAATCTCTAAGCACTAAAACATTTTTGATATTAAACATTTTGAAGGAATAGTTTTCTAAAATATATATTTTTCTGACTTCTGAAATTGACTATTACTTTAATCTTTGTTGCCTTCTGAGTTATTGTTTAAATACTAATATGCTAGCAGTATACGATTATACCCTTAGGAGTTGTTTTATGACAGAGTTGTTTTTATAGGAAAAGTCCTACATTGACAGGATATTTGAATTAGTATATCTGATTAATTTATTTTTTCCTGTCTTTTGCCTGCTAGAAAGTGCTTCTTATGGCTTCTGACTGTTGTCGATGTGCGTTGGTAACACCCCATTCCACCTGACATATTGAGATTTCCAGTGCAAAGAAAATAAAACTAAATAAAACAGAATCTGATAACATTTTCCTTAAGAAAAAAGAAAATAGGCTCCAGGTGAGTATTTAAAGGACATCCTTATGAGTAAATTGCAGGGATTGGATGTCCTCTATTTTGCTGCTCAGAGATTTTATTTATTTACTTTCAAGTTCTTTGTTGTATTCTGAATAGCAAAGGTTTCAATTATATCCCATCTGATTTGGATAGGACTATATATATCTTTTGCATTTCTAAGTAGTTTTTTGATGAACATCTTCAAACTGGAGACTAATCATTAAAAGAAGAATAAATGTCTATGTCCTTGTTATGCCAGAAAAGTCAAGCAAATTTAATAATTTGGAATTTGGCATTAAGGAATGTCAATCACAAATTCTACCATGGTAAATGCTATAGATCTACTTGCTGAAAAGGAAATAAACTTTGATTATTATATTTTTATTATATGAGTATATATTTTGTTATAATGAGGTCAAAAAGATCAAAGACACAAATTCTTAGCACTCCTGCATCAGACTTAATTAAATTTATAGAGGAAGAGAATAGTTCAGAACATGCAAACATGTATCATTCTAAATCTAATACAACTCAAAAAGCTCTCTCTAAAATTGGCCAATGAAGCACCTCGAGAGAAATACTGTAGCATTTAGAATATACCTCCATATTCTGAGCAAATGGATCCTTTGGATCACACAATGTTGAAGATATTCGATGGTTGCCACGGAAACATCGCTGACTTATGTTCTGGGGGACTGGAAATGTCTGCCGGATGATTGTTAACCTTCCAATTGACCTTCTTACAAGTTCCTGAACATCCACATCATTTATTTCCTATAAGATAAGAAATGGAAGAATTAGAAATGCTTTAATACAGTAACAGAAACACACAACTATTAATGAGTTATTTGTAAATGCTAAGGAATTCGTTACTATAATGCATTTGCTGAGTGCTTAGGACACATCCAAATGAAAACAATACATGTTCATTAAAATGATCAACTCATTTGTAGGTGTTGTTTGTGCTTTAAATTATATACATTAATGCCTAAATAAGTCTAAATGGAGCAATTGCCTTAAATGCACCTTATTTATAGTAATTTTCTAATGTATTATGTTGAACATTTTAGAAAAATATTTGTCTAAATGTTGAAAAAGATCATAAAATAACTGGATTTCAAGGTACCCAGAAGATAGTTGCAATGTAACTGAGTACCCAGAAGATAGTTGTAATGTAAGAGGAATATATATATTGTTCTTAGCAATGAAAAATGGGGTTTTTAAATAAAGCATGTAAAGAAAGCAAGATGACATTTAAAAAAATATTTCCCAATTATTTCTTAGAACTGGCATTAACTCATACATTTCTCTTGGTAAAGAACAGATTAGCAAAGTGTTCATAAAGATGAAACATTTTTTATTATACAATGTGAACCAGGATAGATGAATGAAAAAAAAAAACCCAATGTTCTTTATCCAAATTGATGTTAACTTACATGTGAGTATTTGTCAAACTCAAAGAACATATTTTCTATTTCCTTTTCCTCCCACCTCCCAACTCCAGACTTAAATTTTAAGACTTGGCTCAATCATGGATGCAGAAGTAATGAAAATGAAATAATATTTTTATAATATAATATCTGTTCTAACTGGAATTAGTCAGAATAGAAGTGAATCAGAATAAATTTTAGTTTTAAGACAGTCTTTACTAAAGAAGTTTGTGCTTCATATTGTCCATTTGGAATGTTTTAAACCAACGAAGGCTTTGCAATTACATATTATTGGTTTCAGTAGATTCTTATAGCAGCAGAAATAAAAGATTTGACACAAGATAAATTTTGGACTGCAGTGAGCATTTCTCAGTTTTGATTTGAAGATTACAGAATAATGAAAAAGAAAAAGACTATTTACAGGTGTAAATTGTCTTCTTTTCCTCTCTAGATTAATTACATATTATTCTTATTTAAAGCATATATTAGTTTTAAAATTCATTATTTTTTATCTTGACAGAATTGAGATTTTCTGAAAATAAAACAATACCTGCCATCAGCTGTATCCAGTATAATATCCTGGATTTCTGGTCAATTAATCCTTAATGTACCATAAAAAATGATTTTTCTCATTTAAAATGCCATCTTTTTCCTTTAGTCTACGTCCTTTCACTAGCCATCAGAAACACTATCTGGCAAAAAGCAGGTCACTTTTTAATTCTCTTTTATCTACTCACAAAGCAGAATTAAACAATGTCTCCTCAACTCCATTTTAAGCCTGAAATTTAACGAGAAATCTTTTAAAAGTAATTAATATTGCCTTTTAGTGTCTTTACTTTTTTTTTTTAATTCTATGTTGTGCAGACAGGAATTTTTATTTAAAAGGCAGTGAGAGATTCTACCACTTTTTCCATAATGTTAACTAATTTTTGTTATACATGTGGTCTTTTTTTCTTTAGTAATACTGATATAGCAACATTTTGTCAAAGAGTACCATTACTACCTGCCCCAGCCTTGATGAACTACAAATCAGCATGTTAGCACAAAAACTTACATTAACTCTCTATTATATATTTGATAAAATATTAAGCACTTCACCTATTGTCTCATTTTCTACTAAAAACTGCATTCTGATTCAGATACTGTGATTCTTACTTTATAAATAAAGAACCAGAGAAATTCCAAAGTCTTCATTCAAAATATTCTTTACTCATGGTATGAATTTATAAATGTCATCAAAAGAAACACTCTCTAAAGTAATTATACAAGAAATCCACATTTCCTCATGGGAAATATTTAGATTAATATTCACGAATGATAGAAATTAAAACTATAAAGAGGGGGGCGGAGCAAGATGGCGGAGGAGTAGGAGACCTGGATTTCATCTCCTCTCAGGAATTCAGCTGGATAGGGATCAAACCATTCTGAACACCTACAAACTCAACAGGAGATTGAAGAAAAGAAGAGCAACAACTCTCTC